ACACAAGTTTAATATTACTTTTATCTACCTCCCAACATCTGCATCATATCCGGAGTGTCCGGACCGCCTGCTATGACATCCGCACTTTCTTTTTATGTCTTTTTCATTTTTATTACCCTTCACTCGTAATACCGACTGTTATAGTACGCGCTGTTATGACTTTGTTTCCATTTTATTGCAAACGTTATTATTGCTACTTGTGCGTTTTGTTCCATAGAATTTCAATGTATGGGACATTTTGTAAGGCAGGTTCTTGCTTAGCATGGCATATCTCCGGTTGCCGGTTTTTAATACGTCAGTTGTTAGAGGTTTGATGTTCACACAGTGTCAATATTTATATGGAACTAAGCGATTTACATCTCAGAGAGTTTTAGTGATAATATCATTTTACTGGGTTCTCTTTCTCCCTTTATTCTCAAAATATAAGCAATATAGGTATGTATATAGGCATGTTATTTCTCGTAATATATTGCCCCGCTTACGTCTTCTTTTACATCGATGGGATGACTGGAAGAGGTCTCTTACAGATATAAGTCTGTATTTGTAAATTTAGTACCTACCTATGTTGCTTTTTATTGAGTACAATAAAGAGTATAATAAAATTAAAAATTATACAGTTTAAAGCATAACAAGTGTTACATGAACTTGGACAAGTGCGATCTTACTCTTCTCGGATCTTTGTGTTGTTAGGAGGCTGATCTGCTAGAATATTCTATGAGACTTATCTAAGCAGATAAATAAAATTGAAGTCGGTTTGTAATGTTAAAATAGCAAGTTTTTACTTAATGCATAATATAAAAGTATATACAGAACTAATAAGATTGAGAAAAAATCAAAATTTTTGTCTATCTGTTTGTTGTAGCTAATCTCTGAAACGGCTGATATAAAATCAGGAGTAACACAAAATTGCAATCAAAATCCGTACAAAAGCGAAGCGAGGGTAAGTTACTAGTATGTATATATTATTAGAGTTACACTCGTACATATAATAAACATAATATGTATGAAAAATATAAATTTTTAATAGACACTAAGACTAAAAGCAAAGCTTTTGAACTGCCATTAACGCTTAAAATCGTCGTCTCGTGCGTAAATTACATACTTCTCAAAATATCCACTAGCATTGAACTTATTATAGACGTGGCAGAGGAATAGAACGAAAACGAGTAAACAAACAAAAAAATAAATATAATTTCATAGAACGCCGTAGAAATTTATTTCATAGATAAATTATATTCAGTTAAAATAATCTTTAGAGGTTACTTATGTCTAGTTCATCGGGCTACTGTTTTTAAGTAGCCGACTGCATTTCTAAAGAAAGTTCGAGTCTAAGTTAATTAGATAGCTTTGAATGGGAGCAGAGCGTGAGCTGGCATTTCAATGTTAAAATGAGAGGAACATTTTCAGAATTGTATGATTGTTTTAACTAACTGGATATTTTTTGACTTACTTATATTTTTGGCTCATTTTTATATTTTTAAGTGAAATATTTAAAGAAATATTAAATTACGTTATTACAGCACTTCGAGTTCTTGTTCATATATATAATAAATATTTTACGAATGTATGTTGTAAAAAACCTTAAATATATTACCTTAAATGTTAGTTTTAAAATATTTTATTGATTTATGACGGCTTTACCACAATTTATACGTTAAAAATTTCTACTATTTGTGTTATACGCAGTTTCTGTTACAGTGTTCATTTTTTGGCTATGTGGTTTTACAAATTGAATTATATTAGTTCCTATACTCCATACACAGCCTTTTATTTACGTCACCTGCACCGCAATATTTCTATCAAATGTAACGAGTATCGAATTGAAACAACTTTTTGAATAATAGTCGATGAACGTAAAATAATGAATTTTGTATAAACATTTACATCTGCAGGGAATTAAATAATTTTATTTTATGTCATACTAGTAGCTCACCCTCGTTTCGCTCGGTTTCATCCCTAGGTACGTTTGAAATTGATATATATAGTTATTTACCAACGGTAGCCATGTAAATTTTGTAAAAAAAATCGAGTTAGTTTCTAATGTTTTAATAGTTATTCTGCTATTCTAGGCGGAGACAAATCCAACAAATCAAATATCATAAAAATCGGTCCAGCCGTTCTCGAGTTATAAGTGTTGTAACAAACCCGACTTTGTTTTATATGTATAGAACTTAACTATATTAGAGGCATAAGTATAAAATGTAAATAATTTTTGGATAGTTAATCGTTAAATATTATATTGAGTTTTAATTTGTAAATTTTAGCTATTCTTATATATGCATCTGATTTTGTTAAGCAAATACTTTAATCAGTTATTATTTTTCAACTCAACTGACTCCAAAGTACCTTGAGAAAAGTTTTGTTAGTTTTATTCATAATCTACTACATTATGAGACTCATCAAAATGAATCGATTGCCATTAAGGATTTTTACGATCTACTTCTTGGCTTTGTCATGGGATCAGCTCAATGGGATCAAACTATTGTATTATCAAAAATTCACATATTAAATAAAACTATGTTTTCGGATTTTTTCGCGGGTTAATATTGATTTATGGGTCCCGACGTTTCGAATGTTTTACAGCAATCATGGTCACGGGAGAGGAAGGTTTTAGATGTTTCAAGGGTATAATATAGTTGTTACAGACAGCCTACCCACAAAATAACAAAATGAATTCAAAAAATTTAGAAATGGCACTAAAGTACCTTACAATATTTGTTAATCTTAATTTTAAATATTTTTATAATTTTAATGAGTTTTATAATTGAATATAGATTTTGCAATCTAAGAAAGTTTAATGAGAAACTCACATAGTTAAAAATATACAAATCTAGAAGAATCAAGAATTTAGAAGTATTTACTTTTAAATTTGGCTTCATACGATGTGAGTAATGAGTGTAAAGAGATTCATGAAATTAATAAAAACCTGTTAACATAGTTAAGTTTTACCCAAACCAAAAAAGTTAACAAGGAATATTATGCAAAAAGTCATACTTTGGAACTGGGTGGAAAGTTTTCGTTTTGAAATTTTACATTATGTGTTATTACCTCAGGTCTCTTTGGTACGGTAATGTGCTCGGAAGAAACATATCGAATGATCCTCAAATTTTCGTCAAAGAGAAGTAATATCGATTTATATGCTGATTCAAAAATTTATTGCCTTTTTAAGTCTAGCCCAAGTTCTGGCTAAAACGTACTAAATTATTATTTTGAAAGTTTATATAATATAAATTTTATTGAGTATTTGTATGTTATAAAGTTTTTTTTATGAACTATATTTTTATTTATGGTCTTTTTTAATTTATATGACTTTTAAGAAGCATTGTCGAATGTCGGCAGTTTAATTATAGTACAAGGTAAAAAAAATATTAGCTCTAAATCCTAATATTTTTTAAAGATATCTACTTATGTCAGATCGCCATTGAATAACGATTCAAACTTAAAATTTTCTACCTTCATAATCGGATAGAAAAAAAGTAATTTCTTACTGCATAAGTTTTGTGAAAGTACTTTTTTGGGGTCAGTACAGAAGAGTACTGAAGGGTGCTAACGAAACCGTATTACTAAACCTCCGCTGTCCGTCCATCCGTCTGTGAGAGGGCTGAACCGTAATAGGTAGAGAGAGTATATATATATATATATATATATATATATATATATATATATATATATATATATATATATATATAATGTCGATTATGGTGGTATTGGTCTTGAAATTTTTTATTAAAGTTATTGAAAGTGTTTTTTGTTTTACCAAGCTTATAATAAAAAATGTGTAGAAGAAAGTACTATACAGTCACAGGCAAAAGCTTTCTTAAGAAATAAACTCAATATCTTTAGAAAATGTTTGCGGATACTTAACCGTTCTTAATTAATTCTATCGAATTAGTCCGGGCTTAATCTAGTTGAAGTTTGGATAAACTCATCATTTTCACTTTAGCAAGGTTCTTTAATTTTATTTTTCTTTTATAGACTGTTTTATATTTTATAATAAGAAAATTTTGAAACTTACCTGTTAAAAATGTTATAATGACTTGTTTGCTGGATTCGCATATTTTGATATAGTATCTATATATATAAAAGAAAGTCGTGTTAGTTACTTCGCTTATAACTCAAGAACGGCTGAACCGATTTAGCTGAAAATTGGCAGGGAGGTAGTTTAGAGCCAGGAGAAGGACATAGGATACTTTTTATCCCGTTCGACCGCGTTCCAATTTTTATGATATTTTAATTTTTGGATTTCTCTTAGTCCGGAATAGGTAAGTATTAAAACATATAATTAAAATGTGAGAAAGAAAGATTTTTTCTTTTTATATCTATTTAAAACGTACCTAGCGACGAACCCGAGCGAAGCGAGGGTGAGCCGCTAGTTAGTAATATTAGTAAGTAATGGCTGACACTCGCTTCGTTCGGGTTCGCCTCTAGAAAAACAAATCTATCCCACGGGAACCGCACATTTTTCCGGGATATAAAGTAGCTTGTATATTATTATGATGTATAAGCTATATTATTGTAAAGTTTCATTATCCATTCATTAGTTTTTGCGTGAAAGTGTAACAAACATCCAGATATCCAGACTTACATAAAATAATACAAATAATCCATACATCCTCACAAACTTTCGTATTCATAACATTAGTTGGATAATTTGATGGCTTAAATGATTTTTAAATGTGTATGATTGTGAATGAATAAGATAAAACAGATTGTATCTATTGATTTTTTTTTGTTAACCGTACAATACAACTGATACATATATCAAAAATTCAATTCGAATGATCATTTTAATTTAAATAATAAACGAATTTCTCAATTAATTTTCGCATTTTAACTGTTAATTTAGATCAATTATATTTACAAAATTTCGGCTCCGCTTATTTATCGAAGCTCCAATAAATGATATATTATATCCAATATTATTCCACATGGTTGGACATTCAGTGGTTAGATTAAATATAAGGAAAATAAGTATTAAAATTCAAATAAGAAGATCTTACCGTCATGGGAGTCGTAGATGTAAATTATGCTCTTCCAGCCATAGAAAGTAATTGTATCGATAACAGCTTTGTGGTAATCAGGACGAAGACTCACAGCGTAGTCGATCAAGCCAGACGTTGGGGGAAGTACCTGTAAATAATTTTGTATTGTATAATTATTGTATTGTAGTACTTTCTATAAATATATTATATTATTTCTCATATATATTTAATATCTACTTCCGGAAGAATTGAGAGCTTTTGAATGTTTTTAGATATATGTAGTCATGAAGGAAATTGAAAATGTAATATTGCAGCAGAATCGACGAATCAAACATTTAACGTTGATTAAAATGTAAAATTATAAAATAACATATCAATGTTGACAATGTTGTTGTAAATTGTAACAAATGTTGTTGTAAATTGTAACATTTAGTTTTACATATGTATATATAGAATTTTTTGATCCAATTCCCTAAAGTGAAGTTAGCAAATAAACGTTCCCAGGAACTCTTTATTTAATTGTTAAAATGTTGAAGTCACCTTAAGAAATTCAAAATTTTAACCGTGGATTTTGCATAATATAAATGATAAATACTTTACATATATATTATAAACATTTCGAGTAAGACAATGGTAAGGCAGTGGTAGCCCAGTGGTAACGCGCTTGCTTCGGAAACCGAGTGAAGCGTGTTCAAAACCCGGGTCTGATATTCTTATGTGCGACTCATTTTCAACGTGATTACTACTTATCTTACGGTGAAGGAAAACATCGTGAGGGAACCTGCGTGTCTGAGAAAACTTAGAAAGATTTCGAAAAATGATGGAAGTCTGTCTACCTGCATTTGACCAGCGTGGTGGACTATGCCCGAATCCTTTGAAGGAAGCATCGTGCCCAGTAGTGGGGATATTAATAAGGGTACACATACATACACACATTTAGTCCGGAAATTTCCGGAATACTACGTGTTCCGGAATACGATTTACATAAAAACTTTTGCAAAGTTTTCACGTAATAATAAAATTTTCGATAGCTTCTTTCCCGAAGAAATTCTTTTCTTTTCCCGAAATTATATTCGTTTGCTGTATACGAGCTATTTGTTTCCACATTTTCATCAAAATAGATTTAGTCATTTATTAATATAAATAATAAGTTAAGTACAGTTACGGAGATTCTTTAGGATATTAATACGATATAGTATTAATTAAGTGAATATATTTCATAATTTGCCACTAATAGTAATATTATTTGGCTTAACTGTGGCCGACCATAATTGCACTCAGCTGCTCAAAATGTCATGTTAGCGGCCGCTACGGTTGCAAGTAGGTAGGGCTACTAGAAACATATTAATTTGTTATCAATAAAATTTTCTTATTTTTCTTTATTTCTTAAATAAAAACTGGTCAAGTGCGAGTCGACCTCGTACACGAAGGGTTCCGTACCATAGTGCAAGTTATAATAACACTATCTATTTTTAAATACTGTGTATCATTATTATTATTGTTAAGACAACTAAAGACGCTGACTAATTCAGCACAATCTACATTATATAATTTGCATGGCGATAATTTCGAAATTTACCACCTTGGTTTTTTTATTATTCGTTGTTGTAGCCGCTATAGAAATACACACTTTAAAAATATCAACTTTACCTATTACGGTTCACGAGATACTACCCTCTGACAGACAGATATACGGACAGCGGGGGCTTAGCAATAGGGTCCCGTTGGCTCTCTTTGGGTACGGAACCCTAAATATAAATATAATTGAATATCTTAATATTGAGTAATTTATGAATATTTATGAGCTCCTTATTCAAGTCCCATCCACTAAAGTTGCGAAATTTGTGTCAAAATTTATCGGACACAGGTGTATCTGTACTTACAATCATGTTATATGAAAAGTTTGTATGAATAATAAAATATATCAAATCGTAGTATAAAATATATTTTTTTAATTTGTTTGTATTTTCTGTCTTGTCTTGGAGATGAGATTTTATTATATTTATAGATATTCCGTTCTATTTTTACGTTTTGAGTCATTGTATTGATGTGATCTATTGATAAAGTGTGAAGGTGGGTACAGAAATGCTCAATGGGAAAAGTTTTGAATAGAACTTTCTCGTCCTATGGCCTCAGCGACAAACTGAACAAATACAAAGTTCTCGATACCCTGAAATTTAAACCGATTTACTTTTATTACCTGTATTGTAAGAAAACTTTTGTCCCAAAAGTAACACTTTTTAATTATAACTAACTAGCATTGCCCACGGCTCCACCCGCGTTCAGGTGATCAAAAATCAAATTCTTAGGTTTTACATATTAGTATACTCTTATAATGCAGTTTTTGTATTTTTTGATCAGAAATGAGATATTTTCCCGCGGTAAAAAGTAGCCTATATGTTGACCCGGATATCCAGCTATCGTCATACCAAATTTCATCAAAATCTGTCTAGTGGTTTTCTCGTGATGCGGTAACAGACAGACAGACAAAAATTCTAAAATCTATATATTCGGCCTCTGTATCGATAATATTGTCTATTTTAATGAGATTCTCCAAAAAATATTTAATGTACAGATTCAGCTTAGTTACAATTTTATTATATGTATAGATGATAACGAAATACTACTTAGTTACTTGGAGGACAGTAGAATTTAGAAAGATGATTCTTAATCTATTTTAAAGATATTTTATTTTTGTCCAATTTTAATTTTCAAACCATCGAAATCATAGAAGAGAATTGGTGCGCAAAATTTAAAATAAATCAAAAATATTCACTCAGACACATGAAAAGACATTGAATGGACTTTGCTTCGATGGAACTTATTTTAATTAATTCATTTGTTCAAGTAGAGTATGTATTGTATAATATTTCATTATCTTTTTCAAATCTTCGCGTACTGTTTCATGAAAGAATAAAGAAGTTCTTAATAGCAAATATAGAATTACATCGAAATCTGTCTATCTGGTTGGGAGTAATTATGCCACATACACACAAATTCCCATAAACCCTAGTTTATTTTTCAGAACATGATGTCTATATAAGTCGTTTTTTTACATAATACGAACCATATGCGTATCTTTTCTATTAACTTTTAGTAATATTCGTGAAACCACGAATCCATCTAGTTCGCGTATTTAAAGCGTGAACGACATAGCGAAAATCGGACTGAAAATCTTTTTTTTTAATCAAGCCTTAGTATGGCTAGATAAAATAAAAACAATTTCATGCATGTTATAAAATAATACTGAGGGTATTATAGAAAATGGTACAATAAAAGAGATATCGTTGCATCTAGCGTGTAGTCCTTATGCTCTACTATATATGGACTAAATTTGAACTAAATATTAGTCTTTCTAGTATATTGGGAAAAGAATTTTACAAAAATGCCTAAGCCAAGCCAGATACCATGTTCACTGGAGTGCAGTTAAAGCAGAAAATATTTATTTAAATAATTTCTTTTTAACTCGCTATACCGAGGCTCTACGGAGAGATCAACGAATATTTTTGGGTAGTTTGAACTCTTAACTGTTAAATGTTTATGTAATGTTATGCTTTGAATAAAATTAAAGCTGTCTAAGATTTCAAATTTAATTAGCTTATTATTATATATAATAAGCGTTTATAATTACTATCTGTTAGTAATGTACTGTTGGTGCTTTTTAATATGTATTTAATATTTTAAATAAAACTATCTTTTCGGATTTTTTCGCGAATTTATTTTGATTTTTGGTTCCCGACGTTTCGAATGCTTTACAGCATCCATGGTCACGGGAGAGACAGAGGTATGCTGTAAAGCATTCAAATCGTCGGGAACCAAAAAGCAAAATAAATTCGCGAAAAAATCCGAAAAGATAATTTTATTTAAAATGTCAAGTATTCACGTAAATCTAAGAAAGTATTATGTATATTATACTGAATTTTCGACTCACCATAGACAAAAACAAATCTATACCACCGGAATCGTACATTTTTCTGGGATGATATATCGCCATCCAAATCGAAAAGGTTTTTAAATCGGATTAGTACTTTCTGAGATTAGCGCGTTCAAACAAACAAACTCTGTCTCCTTATAATATTAATATAGATTAAAAAACAAAAACAAGATTATTAACAGAAGCTCCATTCATAACAATGTATGGAACTTCAAAACGAATTGAATGCGCTCATATTCCAAGATTTTATCAGCCAACTAGCGGCTCACCCTTGCTTCGCTCGGGTTTGCCTACAAAGACAAAATCAAATCAATCCCACGGGAACCGTAGATTTTTCCGGCATAAAAACATAAATTATGGAATATGTATATTCCAGACTATATAATCTATCTTTTTGCTCAAATTTTAACTAGATCCGTTTAGCCGTTCTGGCGTGATTAAGTAACAAATATCCAAACATCCATCTAAATTTTTACATTTATAAGCTGAAAAATATAATATTTGTAAGATGAAAAGTTCTTCTAATCTTCTTCATAGGCTAAATCAAAAATAATAAAATAAAATATCATCAGATTAGCTCGATGATATTAAATAGTTACTTACTTCTAGTAAGTTAAAATATACTTTCAAGACAAAGATTAAATAGTGAGTCTAAAGTGTGGCTAATAAAAGCGTAATAAAAATCCTGTCAGTGACGAACATATTATGAAAATAAAAACACAGACTGTGAACGGAGATGGGGGGTAAAAGGCAGACAATAAATGTTTATGGTAATTTGTTACAATACAATTCTTACTTACTTCGACGATACAATTATTTACTTCGAGCAAGAACCGAACCGGCAACTTTTGGTTAAGTAACTTGAGTTGTACTTAATTACATTTAAATAGAATTCAGAAGTTCGCTAACAAATTTAATATTATTAGTAGAATCGTTTTAAGTGTTCTCTTTAACAAATTAAGGCACTTTGTCACTCATAAGAAAATATTAAAAATTAAATCTAAAGAGAATTGTTTCAAAGACAAAAGGTACTGACTGAAATTATAATTAACCTTTTAAATGGTGCATGGAAGGATATATATCTCTTAGTTTTATATTACAACTCATATATTCAAAATCGAGTTTCATTTAGCTACTTTTCTAACAAACGCTCGGTACTCTAATATGAAGTTATACATTTTGTGCTCGTGACAAAATTGTTTGATGATAGGTAA